TGATTTTAATCTTAAATTTATTGAGACTTATTTTGTGGCCTAGCAAATGATCTATCTTGGAAAATTTTCATGTGCATGTGAGAAGCATGTTTAGTCTGCTGCTTTGATGAAATTCTCTCATATGTTTAGTAAACCCATCTGGTCTAAAGTGTTATTTAAGGCCAAAGTTTCCTCATTGATCTTCTGTCTAGATAATCTATCCATTGATGTAAGTGGAATATTAAAGTCCCCCCAACATTATTGTATTGCTGTCAATTTCTCCCTTTAGGTATGTTAATATTTTTGTTATTACATAGGTGCTCCTATGTTGCATACATAAATATTTACAAATGTATCATCTCTTTTTGGATTGGCTCTTTTATCATTATGTAATGCTCATGTTTGTCTTTTATTACAGTCTTTATTTTAAAGTCCATTTTCTCTGATGTAAGTATAGCTACTCCAGCTTTTTTGGTTTCCATTTGCATGAAATATCTTTTTTCCTATTTTTTCACTTTCAGGTGTGTGTGTCTTAACATCTGCATATAGATGGGTACATAGACAGGTCTTGCATTTTTATATATTAGGCAACCTATGTGTTTTGATTGAAGAATTTAGTCCAAATTATTTAGTTATTGACATTTTGTGTTTTTTTCTGGCTGTTCTGTAGTTCCTCTCCGTTCCTTTCTACTTCTGTTGCTTTCTTTCCTAGTGGCTTCATGATTTTCTGTAATGTTAGGTTTAGATTCCTTTCATTACCTTTTATAGTTTTTTATTTGCTTTATGGTTACTATCGGGCTCATTGATAACATATGTGCTGTTGGTGGCAATATACATTAGCATGGCCACTGTTAAAAACAGTATGGAAGTTCCTAAAAAAACAATAGAACTACTACATGACATAACAATTCCACTTATCCAAAGAAAACAAAAATACTGGATGTGAGGACAATCTGGTTGCAACATCTGTCACCCCATTGATCGCCAGGGTTGATTAGGCTAATATGGCTGGCTAGGTGGGTGTCCCCTGCCTCCCTCACCTATCCATGTGCAGCCTTCCCGAAGAGAGGACCAGTCTTCAGTCAAGGGCATATGAGTAGCTGCACTCTCCTGCTAGAACCTCCAAACAAGCTCTCAAAGAAAAAAATACTACATCAGAAAAATATATTCACCATGTTCATCGCACCATTATTTACAATAGCTAACAAACTAAGTGTACATAGATGGATGAATGAATAAAGAACCTGTGACATACAGGTGGGCAAAAGTAGGTTTATAGTTGTGAGTATGTGAAACACAAGTTACCTTGCACTATTATTTACTAACTAGAGGCCTGAAGCATGAAATTCGTGCAATGGGCCTGGCCCTTGCAGCTGTGGCAGCTAGGCTCGGTTCTCACAGCCCCAGCTTTTCCGGAAGGTTGTCCGGAAGGTCGTTTGGCTGTCCAGTCTAATTAGCATATTATGCTTTTATTATTATAGACTAGAGGCCTGGTGCACAAAAATGTGTGCACTCGGGCGGGGGGGGGGGGTGGTCCCTCAAGCAGGCCTGTGCCCTCTCGCAGTCTGGGACCCCTCGGGGGATGACCACCTGCTGGCTTAGGCCTGCTCCTCAGGAGACTGGGCCTAAGTTGGCAATCAGACATCCCTCTGGCAGCCCGGCAGCCGTTGGGGAATGTCCACTTGCCGCAGGGAGCAGACCTAAGCTGCAGTTGGAAATCCTTAGCGCTGCTGAGGAGGCAGGAGAGGTTCCCACCACCACCGCTGTACTGGCAGCCATCAGCCTGGCTTGTGGCTGAGCAGAGTTCCCCCATGTGGGAGCGCACTGACCACCAGAGGGCAGCTCCTGAATGGAGTGTCTGCCCTCTGGTGGTCAGTGTGTGTCATAATGACCAGTCATTCCCAGTTGTTCTGCTGTTAGGGTCAGTTTGCATATTACCCTTTTACTATATAGGATAGAGGCCTGGTGCACGGGTGGGGGCTGGCTGGTTTGCCCTGAAGGGTGTCCCAGATCAGGGTGGGGGTCCCGCTGGGGTGCCTGGCCAGCCTGGGTGAGGGGCTGATGGCTGTTTGCAGCTGGTCACACCCCCTTCAAGGTGGGTGTCCCCACTGGGATGCCTGGACAGCCTGGATGAGGGGCTGATGGCTGTTTTCAGGATGGCCACACCCCCTTTAGAGTGGGGGTCCCCACTGGGGTGCCTGGCCAGTCTGGGTGAGGGACTGAGGGCCGTTTTCAAGCTGGACAGCAACTGAAGCTCCCAGCCTTTCCTTTTTTTCTTTTCTTTTTATTCTGGGATTTATTTACCTTCTATAATTGAAACTTTGTTGCCATCACTGGAGCTGAGAGCCAGGCTCCTGCTCGCTCCAGCTCTGTGGCCATGGCCTGCTGAAAGCAGGTATCTGGGGTTTGTTTAGCTTCTATAATTAAAACTTTGTTGCTTTAGGAGCTCAGAGCAGGGCCGTGGCAGGCGGGGAACCTTGTCTTCCTTCATCACTGGAGCAAGCAAGCCTCCTGCTCGCTTCAGCTGAGTGGCTGCTGGCTGCCATCTTGGTTGGGTTAATTTGCACATCTTGCTGATTAGCCAAAGGGAGGCATAGCGAAGGTATGGTCAATTACCATGTTTGCCTATTATTAGATAGGATTATTATTTTCCATATGAACAACTATAAACCAGGCTTAGGCCCCCAAGGGATCAGGTCTAAACCGTTAATTGGACATTCTTAGTGCTGCCATGGAGGTGGGGGAAGCTCCTGCCACCACCTCTGCGCTGGCCAGCCATGAGCCAGCTTCTGGCTGAGTGGCACTCCCCATATGGAAGTGCACTGACCACCAGGGAGCAGCTCCTGAATTGAGCGTCTGCCCCCTGGTGGCCAGTGCGCATCATAGCAACCGGTCATTCTGCCTTTTAGTCAATTTGCATATTAGCCTTTTATTGTTATTACTAGAGATCTAGTGCACAAATTCATGCACAGGTGGGGTCTGGCCCTGATTGGGGCCAATCAGCATGGGCCAGCTTGGGGAGGGAACGCAGGAGGTTGGCCTGCCAGGCCCACCCCCAATGAAGGTGGGAGGACCAATCTCAGGGCTGGCGGGGGGAGCTGTGGGAGGTTGGCCAGCTGGCCCCACCCCCTAGTCGAATTCCCAGTCCAACATCTGGTCAATGGGACAATTTGCATATTAGCCTTTTATTATATAGGATATAGGTTGTCCCTATTTCCCCCCTTTTGCCCCCTCTACCCAGCTCTTGCCCGCCACTTCTCTCTGGCCCTCACCATACTGTTGTCTGTGTCCATGGGTTGTGAATATATTTTCTTTGGGTAATCCCTTCTTTAAATTCACTTCTTTAAATTTTTATTTTCAGGTAATTGCTTATAACTGCACTATTTTATATTTTATATTATATCATTTAGAATTAAGATATCTTTTAATTGAACCCTTGTAAATTTTAGCACAATTTAATAAATTATGCTGGAAGCAATTAGGAGATTTTTCATGTAATGCATACACATTTCAATTAATATTTTATTAATTTTTAATTTTTAATATTTTAATTTGAAATAATCTCATACATGTAAAAAAAAATCTGTAAAATACTACAGCATATTATATGTACCCTTCACCCAATTTCTTAGGTGTTGATAATTTAAACGTAACCATTATACAACTAACAAAATTTGGAATGTATTTTTCTTATAATCTCTTTAATGTTACTTAATCCATTTACTTTGTTTTTGTTAATCTTCACCCAAGGATATTTTTCCATTGAATTTTAGAGAGAGTGATGGGAAAGGGAGAGAGACACATTGATTGGTTGCCTCCTGCACATGCTCTGATAGGAACTGGGGATCAAGCCAGCAACTGAGGTACATGCCCTTGACTGGAATCCAACCTGGGGCCCTTCAGTCCATGGGCTAATGCTCTATCAACTAAGCAAAACAGGCTGCAGCTTAATTCGTTTACTTTTAATCTATATGTGTCTTTATATTTAAAGTGGGTCTTCTTGTTGATTCACCCTCATAATCTGTCTTTTAATTGGTGCATTTATGCCACTGACTTTCAGAGTGCTTACTGATAGAGTTACTGCCATATCAGGTGGCTTCTGGGCCGGCCTGCGGCCCGGGATCGGATCTGATCACGGGCGGCAGGCAGGCAGGCGGTCACACACAGGAGCCTGGATGGTGGCTCGCGCTGGCAGCTCCTGCTGTCCCGCCCTGCCTGCAGTATGCTAATTAGCTGCTATCTTTGTTGGTGGTTAATTTGCATATCACGCTGATTAGCCAATGGGAGGCATAGCGAAGGTACAGTCAATTGCCATGTTTGTCTATTATTAGAGAGGATAATACTGTATTGCATATTTGAAAGTTTCTAAGGCAGTAAAATCTTAAAATTCTCATCATAAGAAAAAAATTTTGTAACTAGGTGTGGTGACAGATGTTAAATAGACATCTTGTGCTAATAATTTTGCAAAATATGCAATGTCAAACCATTATATTATATACCAGAAACTAATAAATGTCAATAATAGCTCAATTTAAAAATAAATAAATGCATTAAACAATATTTTATATATGACTAGCCTGTATTGAAATAACTATCTGGAAAATAAAATGTCAACACTTGACTGTCTAAAAAATTAATCACAAGCCCTGGCAGGTATGGCTCAGTTGGTTGGAACATTGTCCCATGCACCAAACGATCACAGGTTCATCCAGTCAGGACACATACCCAGGTTTGCAGGTTCGAGCCTGGTCAGAACACGTGTGGGAGGCAACCAATTGATGTATCTCTCTCCCTCTCTCTATCTCTCCCCCTCCTCTTTCTCTAAAATCAATAAAAAATTAATCACAAAATCAATACATACCTAATTTTTACATTTATATTAAAGATAATAATGAATTATTTACCCAGATAATAAAAGGAAAAAAATCCAAGCAAAGAAAAGGCATAGAGAATTTTTAAAAGTAGAATTAAATAATGCAAATAATAATAAGATTGAATTCTAACAGCACATATTACTATCTTTATTTTGAGTATTTCTTTACCTGTGGATATTCTTGGATTTTAGCATTTGTCTTTTGTCCACTTAAATCTGCAATTTGTATTTTTCTTGTTTCTCTCTCCAATGGTAGAGATGTTGAATCTACAACTTTAACTTGTGTGTCACTTGTACTCCTTTCCATTGTTGTCTTGGTTTTCCTGTCACTTTTAAGTAACTCCCCTTGATTTAGGAAATACTTTAGTTGATGCTTAGCTTTTTCAGCTTCCTATTTGAAAAAAGTAACCATTTATCAAGTGTTACTTCTGTGACATTTTCCTGCCAATATTGCAACTTTCAAAAATATGCATATATTCATACCCATATTACCTCTCAATTTTATTTTTACTGAGTTGAAGGAACCTAAGTTAAATCACTGATATAATCCATAGTTTAATAGATCCTCAGTTTCATATAAACCAGCCATGGGCAAACTACGGCCCACGGGCCGGATCCGGCCCGTTTGAAATGAATAAAACTAAAAAAAAAAAAGACCGTACCTTTTTATGTAATGATGTTTACTTTGAATTTATATTAGTTCACACAAACACTCCATCCATGCTTTTGTTCCGGCCCTCCGGTCCAGTTTAAGAACCCATTGTGGTCCTCCAGTCAAAAAGTTTGCCCACCCCTGATTTAAACTATGAAAATCTTCTTCCATTTTAGAGCTATTTTTATATCCAGGAGTTTTTAGTGCTCTTATTTCTTTTCTTTTTTATTAAATTTATTGTGGTGACATTGGTTAATAAAATTATACAGGTTTCAGAATGGCTACCGTTAATAGATCAACAAACAAGTGTTGGTAAGGATGTGGAACCCTACTGCACTGTTGTTGGGAATGCAGATTGGCACAGCCACTGTGGAAAGTGGTATGGAGTTACCTCAAAAAATTAAAAAAGGAACTGCCTCATGACCCAGAAATTCCACTTCTTGGAATATATTCAAAGAAACCTAAAACACTAACTCAAAAATATATGCACCCCTATGTTCATTGCAGCATTATTCAACAATAGTCAAAATTTGGAAGCAGCCCAAGTGCCCATCAGTAGATGAGTGGATATAAAAGGCTATGATACATTTATACAATAGAATACTATTCAGCAATAAAAAAGAAGAAAATCAGCTCTTATTTTGTAAAAGCTATAATTATTATATAGGTACAATAAAAGTTAATAAAAGATATACATAATAGCCCTACCCAGCTTGGCTCCGTGGATAGAGCATCAGCCTGTGGACTGAAGGGTCCCAGGTTTGATTCCAGCCAAGGGCACATACCTGGGTTGCAGGCTCAATCCCCAGTAGGGGGTGTGCAGGAGGCAGCCAATCAATGATTCTCTCTCATCATTGATGTTTCTATCTCTCTCTCCTCCCTTCCTCTCTGAAATCAATGAAGAAATATATTTTTTTTAAAAAAAAGATATACATTATACAAATTGCTGAATTGTAACCATGATAGTACCTATCTAAAAAAATAAAATGTAAAAAATAAATAATTTGTTGTTTCTAGAATAAAATTTTTCTTTAAAATATTGTTTTGGCCCTAGCCAGTTTTGCTCAGTGGACAGAGCATTGCCTGCAGACCAACAGGTCCCAAGTTCGATTACGGTCAAAGACACGTACCTTGGTTGCAGGCTCCTCCCCGGCCTGGGCCCTGGTCAGGGCTCGTGCAGGAGGCAACCAATCAATGTGTTTCTGTCACATCAATGTTTCTGTCTTTCCTCCTCTCTTCCACTCTCCCTAAAAATCAATGGAGAAACATCCTCGGGTGAGGATTAACAACAACAAAAATTAGTTTGTATGAAAGACTATAGATTGACAAAATTAAGCTTACAAATAATCTCACCACAGACAGAAAAGTCACTGTCAACATTTCAATGTATATCCTTTTTCATTATTTATAATTATAAATAATGCATATGTGTATTTTAAATATTTATTTATATTTAACAACATACTATACATACTCACATAACACAACCTTTTTATTATATAATGCCATAGATAGGTTTCCATGACAATAAACATGTAAGTAATCAAAATAGCTAAGACAATATATCTTAATAATATATCTAAAAATAATAATTATATACCTAATAATAATAATATAGCTAAGATAATATATAATAATACTATTCCTTAATTTATGTAATAATTTTTTATCAAAGATTGGTAATTTTAAATATTTTCCTATTAAAAATTTTATATTATACATACTTGTAAAAAGTCTCCGTACACTTTTTTCTTCCTTACAATACATTTTTAGAAGAGGAACTGTTCAATGAAAAAGATATGTGTTTCCAAGACTTTTGCTATATGTTTTCTTCAAGAAAGAATCAATTCACACTAACAGAAGTATGTGAAAGATTGCTCACTTCTGCACATAGTCACAAACATTAGATTTTTCTGCTTTTTAAGTTTTGACAAAATGACAAGTTAAAAATCTATCCCATTGTTATTTTTTTTTCATTAAATATATTGGGGTGACGTTGGTTAAGATTATACAGGCTTTAAGTGTACATTATTATGATACATGATTTGTATATGGTATTGTGTCCCAACCACTCAAAGTCAAATCATCTTCCATCACCATATATTTCCTTATTTGCAATTGCAATTATTTGAAAAAAAAGTGAGGTTGAATACACTAGTATTCATTTATTGGGCATGTGTGCTTCTAAGTTATAACTTGCATATTTTTGTCCCTTGTCTATATTTCTTTTAGATTTATAAAATACTAGAGGCCCGATGCACAAAATTTGTGCAAGGGGCTTGGCCCTTGCAGCCGCGGTGGCTTGCCTCAGCCCTCACAGCCCCAGCTTCACCTGGAAGGTCGTCTGGAAGAATATGCAGAAGAATTGTCCAGTCTAATGAGCATATTATGCTTTTATTATTATAGACTAGAGGCCCGGTGCATGAAATTCGTGCACCAGAGGTGTGTGTCCCTCAGCCCAGCCTGCATCCTCTCCAATCCAGGAGCCACTGGGGGATGTCCAACTGCCGGGATTGGGCCTAAACCGGCATCCCTCTTGCAATCCGGAACCGCTGGCTCCTAACAGCTCACCTGTCTGCCTGCCTGATTGCCCCCAACTGCCCTCCCCTGCTGGCCTGATTGCCCCTAACTGCTTGCTCCCCTGCTGGCCTGATCACCCCTAAACACCTCTGCCTTGGCCCCTGCCACCGTGGCTTTGTCCAGAAGGAAGTTGGACATCCGGATGATGTCCGGTTGCCCTGGTCTCATTAGCATATTACCCTTTTATTAGTATAGAATCTATACTAATAGATTATGTAAAAAATCTCCCATTTTTATCACTTCTCGGCCTTTTGGCGAAGATCAAGTGTAAAAAATCTCCCATTTATCTTCATATCTCATACCTTTTACCATTAAATGTTTTAAGTGTATATAGTTAAATATATAAGTATATTAACATGTTTCTTTGTAGTAGAATGCTTAGAAAACCTTGCTCTATCCAAGACCAGGTAATTGTTACCAACTGTTTCTTCTATCCAATACCAAATCCAGAGCCACATTGCTTTAGCTATTGTAGTTTTACATTATATATTGATTTATGTATTGATTTTTTTTTAAAATATATTTTATTGATTTTTTACAGAGAGGAAGGGAGAGAGATAGAGAGCTAGAAACATCGATGAGAGAGAAACATCGATCAGCTGCCTCCTGCACATCCCCCGCCGGGGATATGCCCGCAACCCAGGTACATGCCCTTGACCGGAATCGAACCTGGGACCTTTCAGTCCGCAGGCCGACGCTCTATCCACTGAGCCAAACCGGCTTTGGCTATGTATTGATTTTTAGATGAGCAAACCTTCCTTAATTGTTTCTTTTAAATATTTACCAATTTCTTATTTATATATATATTATTATAATAGTACTATTAAGCTCAAAAATAATTCCATTTAAATCTAGTCATAAATTGCATTAAGTTTGTATATCAATTTGGAGAAAGTAGAAAACTAAATTATTTATAATATTGAGGCTTCAAAACCAAAAATATAAATTTCTTCACTGTTCACCTATACTCTCAGTAAAGTGTATTTTTCTTCATAAAAAACTATATATTTTTGTTAATTATGCTATCCTAATATGATGAATAGAATTTTTCTAAATAATTGCTTCTCTTTTCTTTTTATTGTTTTTTAATTTTTACTTTTCAATTACAGTTAACATACATTATGTTAGTTTTGGATGTACAACACAGTCATTAAATGACTGCTTCTGCTAAAAAGAAAAACTGTTGCTTTTTTATCTATTTTATCCTCAGCCACCTTTTTAAACTATATCATTAATAACAAATTTGTGTATTTTTCTTGCACTTTTCAAAAGGAAAACTATGTAATATTTTAGTAATATTATTTTTGTCTATCTGCTTATAAAAATGTAGCTTCTTTCTTTGGTCATTTAGCAACCATTTGAAAAATAGCAGTAAGAGCCAGCATCCCGTTTAACTTAGTTCAATTGGAATGACTACAGTATTTTATTTATAATATTGCCTCAGTGTGAAATAGATTTCTTTTGTTTGATTAAGGATGTTTACGTTTATTTCTAGTTTAGTCCTATATCATTTCACTCATATGTGGGATATAAAACAAGGGAACAAATGAACAAATAAGAAAAACAAAGAAAAACTCATAGACACAGACATAAGATGCTTACCAGAGGGAAGGGGTTGGGGATGTAATAAAAGGTAAAGGGGATCAAATATATGGTGATAATATATGGTGATTTGACTTTGGGTGGTGGGTACAGAATGTAATTATATAGAGATCATGTATCACAAAAATATACATTTGAAACATATAATCTTATTAATCACTGTCACCCAAATAAATTTAATTAAAAAGAATAAAATACAACTCTCAGTGTTGTGAAAAAATGAGTGATGTTAAATTTTATTAATATACTCATAGTGTGTAAAATAAATACACTTTAAAACTGGAAAAAATACTTAGTACAGACTTATTAGTTAATAAGGTCAAACTTATTCATTTTTAAAACCTGTATACTTTTATTAAACAATGTGAGTCACCCCAATAAACTCAATTTTCAAACTTAAAAAAATCTCTTTATAGATATTTTCTTCACTTGTTAACAATTTTAAAAGAACATGATATTCTTTACCTGTAATGCTTGTTTGAGTTGTTCCTGAAGGATTTTGTTCTCAGTTTCCAGAGTATTTGCTGATTTCTAGGATGCAATATAAGGGGAGAAGGGAGGTATTTATTTTGGTACTTTTGTTTTTATTAACTTATTATTATAGTTACTACATTTCTAAAATACATATATACAGCCCAGATGATGATTTGAGCATATACATTTACTACATACTTAACAGTCATAGTGGTGGATAATTTCTGTAGCTTTAAGTTCCTATTCATTTTCCATATGCAATTTGACTTTGAATCTGGCAAACTATAACTAGAGTAAATTAAACATTTCTTTTCTCTGTTTCTTTAGGCCTAAAATACTTAAATATAAACATTTCAAGTTTTATAGAAAGAAACAACTTTGTTCTTAACACAAAATAAGCTTAGTTCTGACTTTGTGAGGAGTGGATTCTATCATACATGAAATAGATCAAGAATTCTTTAGCAGATGGAAGAAAGTTTGAGGAACCATACCTAAAGTCCCCAATTCTGCTCTGGCATAGCAGAGCAAATTCCTACTAGACAAGCCCTGCCATATATAACCACCATAAACTATGAACAAAATATAAATATTAACATTTGAAAGCTATCCCATTATTGAATAGATTCTTGAGAGAAGTTGACCAAGAGTATTAAGATTGTTGGTTTTTGGCTCCTAGTCTGAGGGCAAGCCCTAGCTGAACCAGGCAAAGCACCTAATAACTGATAGAATGCCTAATTTTTAGACTTTACAAACCAGAGGACAGAGTTCAGGGCAATCACAACCACTAGAAAGGTTAGGGGAAAGTCACACAAAGAAGAAAGCCAGAGACAAGGAGCCCCAAACTGTTTGCATAATCTGTGCCCAATCTCCCCCAAACCACATATGTATAGGGAAGAATGTAAAGAGCTCAGCAAAAATTAAAAAATTTTAATGTCATTGGAGCGCCTGCCTAAACACAGAATTTTTATTTTTCATCCAATCATGTTAATTATACACTGAATGGCCAGATTATTATGACCACCCCATCAGTACTTCATTGAGCCACCTTTTGCCTTCAATACTGCAGTGATTCTTCTTGGCATTGACTCCACGAGATGTTGAAAGATGACGTGAGGAATCTGACACCATGCCTGATGAATAACACTGTCCAGTTCTGTGAGATTTGATGGTTGTGGAACCAGCTGCCTGATGGCTCTTTTAACTTCATCCCACAAATGCTCAATTGGATTGAGATCTGGTGATTGTGGGGGCACCTAAGCAAGGTAAATTCTCCCTCATGTTTTTGAAAGCACTCCTGCACAATACGAGCACCATGACATGGTGCATTGTCTTGTTGGAAGAAGCCATCTCCATTGGAATACACCATCAACATGATAGGATGAACCTGATCAGCAATGATACTTAGGTATGTTGTGCTATTCAGGCATTGTTCCACATGAATTAAAGGGTCCAAATCATGTCAGGAAAATATGCCCCAAACCATAACACTGCCCCCACCAGCTTGAAGGGTTGTACTCATGCATGTGGGGTGCATGCTTTCATGCTGTTTCCGCCAAATTCTCACTCTGCCATCTGCATGATGCAACTGGAAACATGATTCATCGGACCACATGACTTTTATTCAATGCTCGACTGTCCAATCCTTGTCTTCCTGTGTGAATTGGAGACATTTTATCTTGGTAACCGCAGACAGCAAAGGTGTTTGAACAGGCCTTCAGCTTCCATATCCCATACGATGCAGTGTATGACTAATTTGCCTACAAATGTCAGGTGGTCATAATAATCTGGCCACTCAGTGTATATTAAAACAAAACAAACAAAATAATACCAATCATTGCAAGAATATAGCAGAATCCAGAATTTCAACATGACATTCCCAATATCCAAAATATAATTTAGAATTACTTGACATTTGAAGAAATAGGAAATTATCCTTACTCTTAAGATAAAAGACAATCACAGAGAATGATCCCAACATAGTCTGGATTTTAGAATTAGTATAAAAATTGTAAAGCAACTCTTATAACAATTCTATATAATAAAGAGCTAATATGCAAATGGTCATCATGCCCTCACACTGTCACACCATAACACAGACACTCAACACTGGGGAGAGAGGAATGGGGACCAGCCAGGCACAAATGAACTCACAAGAGAGGAGTGGGAATCAGCCAGGCACAAATGAGCTTGCGAGACAGAGGAATGGGAACCAGCCAGGCTGTGGCCTGGGAGTGGAACAAACTGCCTGCCCCGCAGTCCTAGGCACCAGTGGCTGTGCCTGCGCCTGCGGCCCAGGGGAGGGACAAGACACACCCCATGATCCCGGGCACCAGCAGCTAGGGCTATGGCCTGGGAGAGGGACAAGCTGCCCTCCTTGCAGTCCTGGGTGCCAGCTGCTGCACCTGTGCCTGCAGCCCAGGAGAGGGATAAGCCTCCTGCCCCACAGTCCTGGGCACTAGCACCTGCGGCTGCTGCCCAGGAGAAGGACAAGCCACCCACTCCATGGTGTTGGGTACCTGAGGCTGAAGCCCGGGTGAAGCAACCCACCCAAGGTCCCCTGTAGCTGCAACCAGCCCAGGCAAAGCCAGCCCGGGTCCTGGGTGCCTGCAGCCAGCCAGAGGGAGGAAAGCCTGGGTCCTGGGTGTGGGGCAAGGCAGAGGCGGTTAGGGGTGATCAGGCCAGCAGGGGAGCAGTTAGGGGCGATCAGGATGGTAGGGGAGAAGTTAGGGGCAATCAGGCAGGCAGGTAGAAGTGGTTAGCAGGGATCAGGCAGGTAGAGTTGGTTAGGGGCAATCAGGCAGGCAGAGGTGGTTAGGGGCAATCAGGCAGGCAAGCAGAAGGGTTAGGGGCGATCAGGCAGGCAGGCAGGCAGGCAAGTGGTTAGGAGCCAGCAGTTCAGGATTGCGAGAGGCAGTTGGTCATCCCCTGAGGGGTCCCTATTTGGAGAGGGTGCAGGCCGGGCTGAGGGACCACACCCCCTCCCCTGGTGCACAAATTTCGTGCACTGGGACTCTAGTATCCAAAATAAAATATGTTCATAATGAATTAAATTATGGAAATCCCAGCATAGAAATAGAAACTAAAAACAGCCAAATATAAATTGTAGTATAGAAAATATAGCATCTGATTTTAAAAACTGAATGGATGAACAAGGGAGCAGATTGGATATGGCCGTATAGAGTGAGATCATTTGAAGATATATCAATAGAAAATATGTATCTAAAGACAAAGAGAACAATGATGGGAAAAAGTGAATAGACTGAAAAACATTTGGAATAATATCAAATAACAAGTAATTGCTTTGAGGGCAGGGGAGGCAGAGAGGGAGGGAGAGAACAGAGTAGAAAAATTGGTTGGCTTGGAAAAAATAGTTGAAAATTTTCTAAACTTGGTGAAATTTACCTACTCAAGTTGTTCAGTAAACTCTAAGTTGATATATATAAAGAAAATAGTCTAATGAACCAAATAAACTGATAATCAAAAGTAGACCCAGAGTCATAGAAGCATGAACAAACTGTTGAACCTCAAAAGTAAAACAAGGAGGGTGGGTGGGAAGAGATTGACCAATGAAGTTGTATGCATATATGCATAACCCATGGACACAGACAATGGGGTGGTGAGGGCAGGGGGTCTGGGGCAAGATGGGAGCAGACTGGAAGAGGTTAATGGAGGGAAAAGAAGGACCTATGTAATACTTTCAACAATAAAAATTTAAAAATAAAAAGAGCCCTGACCAGTTTGGCTCAGTGGATAGAGCGTCAGGCCATGGACTGAAAAGTCCCAGGGTTTGATTCTGGACAAGGTCATGTATCTTGGTTGCAGGCCCGATCCCCAGTAGGGGATGTGCAGGAAGCAGCTGATTGGTGTTTCTCTCTCATCAGTGGTTCTAACTCTCTATCCCTCTATCTTCCTCTCTGTAAAAAGTCAATAAAAATATATAAAATAATCCTATCTAATAAAAGAGAAACATGGTAATTAGCTGTACATACGCTACCCTTCCCATTGGCTAATCAGCGAGATATGCAAATTAACTGCCAGCCAAGATGGCGGCCCGCAGCCAGGCAGCTTGAAACTAACATGAGGCTTGCTTGCTTCAGTGACGGAGGAAACCAACATTCTCCACCTGCCTTGCCGGCCTGTGAGCTTGCAGTTTGAAACATAGTTACAAATATAGAAGCTAAACCAGCTGTGGGCAAACTACAGACCGCGGGCCGGATCCGGCCCATTTGAAATGAATAAAACTATTAAAAAAAAAGACCGTACCCTTTTATGTAATAATGTTTACTTTGAATTTATATTAGTTCACACAAACACTCCATCCATGCTTTTGTTCCGGCCTTCCGGTCCAGTTTAAGAACCCATTGTGGCCCTCAAGTCAAAAAGTTTGCCCACCCCTGAGCTACACAAAACCCCAGAAACCTGCTTTCAGTGAGCCGGAATCTCAGAGCTGGAGTTGATACAGTGTTTCGATTATAGAACACAAATAAACCAGATACCTGCTTTCAGCAGCAGAGGCCTCAGAGCTGGAGTCAGAGCTAAAGCTGGCCCAGAATTAAAGAAAAAGAAAAAAAGGAGCAGTTGGGAGCTTCAGTCACCCGCCAACCTGAAAACAGCCCTCAGCCCCTCACCCAGACTGGCCAGGCACCCCAGTGGGGACCCCCACCCTGATCCAGGACACCCTTCAGGGCAAACCAGCCAGCCCCCAACCATGCACCAGGCCTCTATCCTATATAGTAAAAGGGTAATATGCCTCCCAGCACCAGGATCAGCGGAGCCGCGAGGCCTCCTGGCACCGGGATCAGTGTGACAGGGGGCAGCGCCCAAACCCCCTGATCGCCCTGTGGCTCTGTGTGTGACAGGGGGCGGGGCCACAACCTCCCTATCCGCCCTGCTCTGTGTGTGACAGGGTGTGGTGCCCCAACCCCCCCGCCCCACGGGCCCTGCTCTGTGTGTGACAGGGGGCGGTGCCCCAGCCCCCTGATCGGCCCTGCTCTGTGCCTGATAGGGGGGAGCACCCCAACCCCCGATCGCCCTGCTGCTCTGTGTGTTACAGGGGGCGGGGCCACAACCCCCCTATCCGCCCTGCTCTGTTCGTAACAGGGGAAGGCGCCCCAACCCCCTGCTCAGCCTTGCTCTGTGCCTGATAGGGGGAGCTCCCCAACCCCCTGATTGCCCTGCGGCTCTGTGTGTGACAGGGTGCGGCGCACCAACCCCCTCCCCCCCCCATGGGCCCTGTTCTGTGTGTGACGGGGTAGAGCCATAATCTCCCCATCGGCCCTGCCCTGAGTGTGAGAGTGGCGGCGCCCCAACCCCCTGATTGGCCCTGCTCTGTGGGTGATAGAGGGCGGCGCCCCAACCCCCCAATCAGCCCTACCCTGAGCGTGACTGAGGGTGGCATCGCAACCTCCTGATCTGTCCTGCTCTGTGCATGACAGGGGGTGGTGCCCCAACTCCCCAATCGGCCCTGCTCTGAGCCAGACCAGGGGCTGCACCTAGGGATTGGGCCTGCCCTCTGCCACCCAGGAGCAGGCCTAAACCAGCAGGCCATTATCTCCCGAGGGGTCTCAGACTGCGAGAGGGCACAGGCTGGGCTGAGGGACCCCTCCTTTCCCCCCGAGTGCACAAATTTTTGTGCACCGGGCCTCTAGTAATAATAATAAAAAGAAAAGAAAATGATGCCCACACACATCAGAGTCAAACTGTTGAAAACAAAGTTCCAGAGGGATAAAAGGAAGAAAAAAGATAAATAATAAAGAAATAACTAGGAAAACAACACTTTTTTGAACTAAGTAAAAATTAAAATCTTGTAAAATTTCTAAATTTCAATGAGAAATGAGAGCAAAAAATAAGGAAACAGGATCCCAGAAAACATCAAACTACTATATCCACATCTACCCAAACTTTCCATGAGAGATAAATAATATTCTATTTTGTTTAAGCTATTGAATTTTATGGGGTCTCTTTATTTAGCAGTCTAGCCTAGTTTCTAACTAATAAGTATATAGAGAATTAAAATAATGAAACAAATCTAGATTTAATTAAATTTTATAATGAGAGAAGGAGAGAAGTGAGAAAGAATGGGAAAGAGAATACATACTCTACTATGATAGCCTACAACTGGTCATAAATTCCCTGCAGTAGCTCTCATCAAAAGGTGAAGTCAATTTCTTCACTCCCTGAAACTGGGCTGGCCTAGCACTTGCTTTGGCCAATAGGATACAATGCAAATGGCGCTATCTGAGGTTTGAACTTAACTCTCAGCAGTCTTCCAGCTGTGTTTTGCTCTCTTGCTACTGAGAATCCTACTGTACAATAAACTATCTAGGGATAGCCTTCTGGAAGATAAGACTGTAAAGAGGTCCTATCTGTCCTAGATGTCCCAGCTAGGACCCCATACAATGTGAATAAAGCTATCTTAGACCACCCAACCCAACCCAAGCCTGCCCAGAGAGAATACTTATCCAGTCACTAAGAGAAATAATGAATATCTGATGGTTTATTTTTTTCTGTATCTCCTTCATTGCTTTATTTTTTTTACTTTGTTTTTTAATTGTTACTATTACTGATGCCTCCCCCAAATAACTACTGTTTTAAAACACCAAGTTTTAATTTGTTATTTAGGAAAAGTTCATTGGTATACAAAGCAATAGATAATGTGCATTATTTTATGTCATTAGAACATTTACAAAAAATGTATTATATTATTTCCACAAATGGCCACCAACAATTTTACCCACTCTATGCCACTCCTCCCCTTGAATATGGGCTAGCCTTATAATTTCTTTACAGAATGTGGTGAAAAAACTTCAAGGACTTATGATCCCAGTTTGTTACAAGATTATTGTTTTTGATTTTGCCTGCTTGGGTCCCAGCCACCATGTAGAGAAGTTTGGGCTAAATTAGTACATGATGGGAAATCAGACATGTGAGAGAAATTATCTTGGACTTTTCCAGCTCCAGCTGAGTTCCCACCTGAATGTATCCATATAAATGGCATTAGTCACCATGACATCAAATAGAGACACTGCCCAGCTGAGTGCAGCAAACCAAAGAATTGTGAGAAATAATGGCATTATTGTTTTAAGCCACTAAATTTTGGGGTAGTTTGATATGAAGCAACAGAAATACCTGGAAGTGGGGTGGTGCAAAAACAAAAACTTAAAACATGTGGCACTGGCTCTGGGTTCAACAGATGAACAGAAGCTGAAATTGTGGTGAAGACCACACTCAGTGAAGACCAGAAAAATAGCCAGAAGGTTATAGGTGAAGACTGGAAGAAGGGCAAAAAATCTGTTAGTGGAAGTTACAAAAGGCAGTGAGGTTAGAAAATTGAAGGGTGGAAAATACTGAAGGCTAGCAAAAAGGAATCTATCTCAGAATTATGGGCTTTTGAGTAAAAGAATTAGCCACAATAACATACATGGAAAATAAAGTTTTTAAGAGAAACACCATCATATTAGACTAAAACAGACAGAAATAATTAAAAAATGCATGTCTTTTCTTATATCCATATGATTAAGCTGCTAATCACCCACTTAGTAGATACTTGCTTGAAATAAATATATTCTATTTCTCTAACAAAATAGTCTAAAAATCAAAATTTAATAGAATTAAAAAATTTGTATCATTTTATCTAAGTATGATTTTGTTAAGTACAACTCTGACTACTGGCTGCTAGTGTATATAGTATCTTTGATGAATTAGAAAAAGGAGCCTTCTTTCAAGCAAATGCAGCCCTATGCTAGGGTGTACAGTTGGCAAGTAAACCATGGGTTGGATTTCAACACCCACTTTTGCCTTAAGCCCCTCCCTTGTTCAAGGTACAATTTGTAGAACATAAAGATAGCCTTGGGTCCAAATGGATTGTTTTCTCTACATACTTTAAATGTTACAGGTAAAAAAAAAACTAGTTAACTTAAAAACTAAAATACAGTTTTATATGTCTTATTAAGTACTTTATAAGCATTAAATTACTTGGGCAGATAGATAGCAATGCCAACTGATTCTATTATCCATGCCTGTTAGAGGAAGCAAAACAGAATATATTTTCACATGTTGCAAATTCTGAGCAGGACTCCATGTTTGCAGTTCAGATTTCACTACTATTTTCTTCTCTAACACTAAGCAAGTCACTTCTTTTAACTATTATTGATCTCCGTAAAATGGCCTAGACCCGTGGTCAGCAAACCGCAGCTCGCGAGCCACATGTGGCTCTTTGGCCCCTTCAGTGTGGCTCTTCCACAAAATACCACGTGCAGGCATGCACATACAGTGTGATTGAAACATCGTGGCCCATGTGCAGAAGTCAGTATTTTGTGGAAGAGCCAGTATTTTGCGGAAGAGCCACACTGAAGGGGTTAAAGAGCCGCATGTGGCTTTCGAGCCACAGTTTGCTGAGCCACAGTTTGCCAACCACTGCTCTAGAACAATAATGATTTATAAAGGAGTTTTTGAGGTGGGAGAAATTCTCTTGAAATTCTCATTAAATCCATAAACCTTCCCCAGAAAAAAATTATACCTACAGAAAGTTTTGACTTTAACTTCATAAAAAATAATTTAAAATGACAATCACCAGCTGCTACAGACTGAATGTTTGTGTCCCTACCCGACCCCACCCCCAAAAAATTCATAAGTTGAAACCTAATCCCTAATGTGATGGTATATACTAGGGGTGGGCAACCTTTTTGTGAGTGTGCGCCAAAACCAGCAAAATCTCGGACTCAAAATTCTTCTGCATGCCAACCCTAATTTTTTTAGAACATGTTATGCCTACTTGATATCTCTTAAGGTGTATGTATGTGAAGAACCTTGAAGAAATAAAATTTATTCGAGCAACAAAAACACAGTATATGATGATGAAAATACATTTATTTTTTAATGTACACATGTACACTGATAGACCGACAGAACACTTTATGACTCCGTTTGATATTATCGGTGGGACTTTTGCTGCTGCATCACTGATGACAGAGATTTTAAATCAGGTTTATATTTCATGACCTTCAGAGATATACATGAGCTACTACTTTCAACCGTCAGGCTACTCCTATTATGAAACTTAACAAAATTCATCACTGAGAACAAAGATTCACAAGCGTATGTGGATGAAAACATGGAGAGTAACACTGCTGCAAAGTTTTTTAAACAGAAAAAATTTTCTGGTCTCATTGAACGCGGGGACACCAGTTCGGATCGGTCTGTGCCAGCCGAGCGTGCACACCAGCAACCATGTCTAAGGGACCTGCAGTTGGCATTGATCTTGGCACCACCTACTCTTGTGTGGGTGTATTCCAGCATGGAAAAGTGGAAATAATTGCCAACGATCAGGGAAACCGAACCACCCCGAGTTATGTTGCCTTTACTGATACTGAGCGATTGATCGGTGATGCTGCAAAGAATCAAGTAGCAATGAATCCTACCAACACGGTCTTTGATGCCAAGCGCTTGATTGGACGTAGATTTGACGATGCTGTTGTCCAGCCTGACATGAAGCATTGGCCTTTCATGGTGGTGAATGATGCTGGCAGGCCCAAGGTCCAAGTAGAATACAAGGGAGAGACAAAAAGCTTTTATCCAGAAGAGGTGTCATCCATGGTTTTGACAAAGATGAAGGAAATCGCAGAAGCCTACCTTGGGAAGACTGTTACGAATGCTGTTGTCACAGTACCTGCTTACTTCAATGACTCTCAGCGTCAGGCCACCAAAGATTCTGGAACTATTGCTGGTCTCAATGTACTTAGAATCATCAATGAGCCAACTGCTGCTGCTATTGCTTACGGTTTAGACAAAAAGGTTGGAGCTGAAAGAAACGTGCTGATCTTTGACTTGGGAGGTGGCACTTTCGATGTGTCAATCCTCACAATTGAAGATGGAATCTTTGAGGTCAAATCTACAGCTGGGGACACCCACTTAGGTGGAGAAGACTTCGACAACCGAATGGTCAACCATTTCATTGCAGAGTTCAAACGCAAGCATAAGAAGGACATCAGTGAGAACAAGAGGGCTGTCCGCCGCCTTCATACTGCTTGTGAACGTGCTAAGCGTACCCTCTCTTCCAGCACCCAGGCCAGTATTGAGATTGATTCACTCTATGAAGGAATCGACTTCTATACCTCTATCACCCGTGCCCGATTTGAAGAATTGAATGCTGACCTTTTCCGTGGCACCCTGGACCCTGTAGAGAAAGCCCTTCGGGATGCCAAGCTTGACAAGTCCCAGATCCATGATATTGTCCTGGTGGGTGGCTCTACTCGTATCCCCAAGATTCAGAAACTCCTACAGGACTTCTTCAATGGAAAAGAGTTGAATAAGAGCATCAACCCTGATGAGGCTGTCGCTTATGGTGCAGCTGTCCAGGCAGCCATTCTCTCCGGAGACAAATCTGAAAATGTCCAAGATCTGCTGCTGCTGGACGTCACGCCTCTGTCCCTCGGCATCGAGACGGCTGGCGGCGTCATGACGGTGCTGATCAAGCGCAACACCACCATCCCCACCAAGCAGACGCAGACCTTCACCACCTACTCCGACAACCAGCCGGGTGTGCTCATCCAGGTTTATGAAGGTGAGCGTGCCATGACCAAGGATAACAACCTGCTTGGCAAGTTTGAACTCACAGGCATACCTCCTGCACCTCGTGGTGTTCCTCAGATTGAAGTCACTTTTGATATTGATGCCAATGGCATCCTCAATGTCTCTGCTGTGGATAAGAGTACAGGAAAAGAGAACAAGATTACCATCACTAACGACAAGGGTCGTCTGAGCAAGGAAGACATTGAGCGCATGGTCCAAGAAGCTGAGAAGTACAAAGCTGAAGATGAGAAGCAGCGGGACAAGGTGTCTTCCAAGAATTCACTTGAGTCCTATGCATTCAACATGAAAGCAACCGTTGAAGATGAGAAACTCCAAGGCAAGATCACTGATGAGGACAAACAGAAGATTCTTGACAAGTGCAATGAAATCATCAACTGGCTTGATAAGAACCAGACCGCAGAAAAGGAAGAATTTGAACATCAGCAGAAAGAGTTGGAAAAAGTCTGCAACCCCATCATCACCAAGCTGTACCAGAGTGCAGGAGGCATGCCTGGGGGCTTCCCTGGTGGCGGAGCTCCACCATCTGGCGGTGCCTCCTCTGGGCCCACCATTGAAGAGGTTGATTAAGCCAGCTTTGAGCATAGATCTAGCATTGTTCCACACAAAATATTGAAGGACCCAAATTTGTAGCAAATTCCATGGCAGTTTTAAAAGTTGAGCTGCTGTATAGTAAATAACTGGGCATTCTTGATACTTGAATACGGACTGTGCACAGGGAAAGGAAATATAATGCACTTTATAACTGTATTGTAAAGTGGAAAATGCGGCGTCTTAAATAAAACAATAAAAAAAAAAAATTTTCTGGAATGGCATCTCAAGTCCTCAATAGTTCGTTTTTGACACTACTGAAATTGCTCTTCCCCTCTCTCGTCAATCCATGTCTATGGTCTTTAAGATAACTTGTTATGTAAAATTATTTATTTATCTAAGATGCACCTACACTGAATTTATCTGAAAAATAAAAAAGTCAATATTAAGAAAAAAATTGTAAATGGAAGATTATAAGAGAGGGTTTCACGTGCCAGCAAAAGTTACTGGCGTGCCATGTTTGGCACACGTGCCAGGGGTTGCCCATCCCTGGTATATACAGACGAAGGCTTTAGGAGATGGTTAGGTCATGAGGGTAGAGGCCCTACTAATGGGATGAGCAACCTCTAAAAGAGACTCCAGAGAGCTCCTTTGCCCTTTTTGCCATGTGAAGATGGTGTCTTAATCTTGGATTTGTCAGTCACTAGAAATGTGAGAAATAAATGTTTGTTATTTAAGCCACCAGTCTATGATATTTTGTTACCTATTATGGTTTTTTTTAAGGGTATCTTTTTAAAAAATATATATTTTATTGATTTTTTTTACAGAGAGGAAGGGAGAGGGATAGAGTTAGAAACATTGATGAGAGAGAAACGTCGATCAGCTGCCTCCTGCACACCCCCAACTGGGGATGTGCCCGAAACCAAGGTACATGCCCTTGGCCGGAATTGAACCCGGGACTCTTCAGTCCACAGGCCGACGCTCTATCCACTGAGCCAAACCAGTCAGGGCTCCTATTATGGTCTTAATATTTGTGTCTTAAAAGAAATTCATATGTTGAAATCTTAATGCACAGTGTGATGGTATTACAAGGTGGGACTTTTGAGAGATAATTAGTTCACAAGAGCAGAGCCCTCATGAATGAGATTAATTCCCTTATAAAAGAGGCTTGAGAGACCTCCCCTGTCTTTTCTGTCATGTGGAAATACAACAAGAAGTCTTCAACTGAGAAGAGGCCTTTATACCCCACCATGCTGGCACCCTGATCTCAAACTTTCAGCCCTTAGAACTGTTAGAAACAAATTTCTCTTGCCTATAAATTATCCAGTCCCTAATATTTTGTTAGAATAGTATGAATAGACTAAGAACAGCCTGCATGGCCCTGGAGAGTATTATGCTAAGCAAAATAAGCCAGTCAGAGAAAGATAAGTATCACATGATCTCCCTCATATGTAGAATCTAATGAACAAAATAAACTGATGAATAAAAATGGATCCAGAGGCATAGAAGCATGGAACAGGCTGTCAAACCTCAGAGAAAAGGCAGAGGAGGTTGGGTGGGAAGAGATCAACTAATGAACTTGTATGCACATATGCATAACCCAGGGACACAGACAATAAGGTAGTGAAGGCCTGGGGGGGGATGCAGGGTGGGTAGAAGAGGTCAATGGGGGAAAAATGGGGACTTATGTAATATTTTCAACAATAGCATTTTTTTAAAAGACACAGCCCAAATTAAAAATCAAACAAATACTATCTTAATGACTTCTAATGTTAATCTCTACACTAATAAAAGAGAAACATGCAAATTGGTGTCACTCCACTACACCCACCAGCCAATCAGAGCAATTATGCAAATTAACCCAACAAAGGTGGTGGTTAATTTGCATATGCAGGTGTGGAGTGAAGACTGAAGACAGCTAGAAGGAAACCAAGCACTGCAGAAGGGAGTGAAGTGGCAGAGAAGGGAGGGAGCCAAGGCTGCAGAGACGTGAGTGGAGCCAAGGCAGTGGACACTGGAGCGGAGCCGAGGCAGCGGACACAAGAGCGGAGCAAGGCAGTGGAGAAGGGAGTGAAGCCTGCCTCATCAGGCTTTGCTCCCTTCTCTGCTTTGCTCCAGCCGCAGGAAGCCCTATTCTTATAGGAATAGGCCCAAGGCAGCCCTATTCTTGCAGGAATCTTCCTGCAAAGGGGCCTCTAGTAGGATTATAGTAATTTTTTAAATATACAAAATAATGTTCTAAATGAAATAAGTTCATAAGTATTGATTGGAATAATTCTAAGATGGCCTCCAAGATCCTCATCCCTGGTGTTATTCCCTATATAATCCACTCTCTTTTAGTGTTACCTATGATTTACTTCTAGCCAATAGAATATCACAAAGTGATGATATACCACTGCCTTTATTAGATTGCATTATATAGCTAAAGTGACATGATGTCACTCCCATGATTGTGTTATCTATCTATATATAAAAAGTCAGCAACCAAAACACTGCAATGACCAGAATGACTGGTCGCTATGACACCCACTGTGGCCAGCGAACTGGCCAAATCAGGAGATGGGGCCAGCAAGCCAACCTCCTGCAGCCCCTCCCCTTAGTGGGCCCCACCCCTCATCGTCCTCTTCCACCCCAATCGAGGGTAGGGTGGCCAGCCAACCTCCTGCAGCCCCTCCCCCTGGCCTGGCCCACTCCCGATAGGCCCACACTACCCTGATTGGCCCACAGCCCCCCAGGCCGACCCTGCCCCTGATCACCCCTCCCCACTCCAATAGGGAACAGGGTCAGCTGGCCAACATCCTGCAGCCCCTCCCCCCACCTGACCTCACCCCAGATCAGCCCCCCACCCTGATCAGAGGCAGGGCCAGCCAGCCAACCACCCGCGGCCCCACCCCCCCCAGCCAGCTCCACCCTCAATCGACCCCCAACACCAATTGGGGGTGGGACTGGCCAATATCCTATGGGTCCTCCCCTGGCTGCTGACCCCCAATCATCCCCCTCTACCCCATTCAGGGGTGGGGCTGGCCAGTCCACCACCCACAGCCCCTCCCCACAGCCAGCCCCACTCCTAATTGCACCCCCCCAACCCCAATCGGAAGTGAGGTCACTGGTCAATTGCCCACGGCCCCTCCCCCCAGCTGGCCAGCCTCCCACCATCTCCTCCTCCTGACTGGACCGGTTCTGATACACCCTGATTGCAGCCGGGCCTGCAGGACCCCACCATGCATGAATTCATGCACTGGGCCTCTAGTATTATATAAAACTCTCCCTTGGCAAGCATGACAGACCCTTGGCTGGCCTGAAGAAAATAGTTGCTATGATGTAAGCTGCCTATGGAGATGGCCACATGCTTACATGTCTCAGTTCTATGACTGCAAGAAACTAAAGTTTGCCTCATCCATTTGAACTGGAAAGAGGACCCCAAGTTATAGACTGGAATAGAACCTAGCCAATACCTTCATCTCAGCTTGGTAAGCCACTGAGCATAAAACACAGGTAAGTTATGCTCAGGCTCCTAACCCTCTCAAACCATGGGAAAATATAAGTTGTTGTATGTTTCAAAATTAGTGGTAACATGTTATGCAAGAATAGAAAAAATAATGCCATAAAATTCTACATTCAATACCACAAGCAGTGCTCTTACATTCTTCCCAAATTTATGATATCTGATTCTTAAATCATTCAGGCACATGCTGTGAGAAAATAAACTTTAGCCACTCACTAAAATGGGTGGTATGATGCTCTAATGGGTATTTAGAAGTTAAACTGTAGAAAAATAAAATATTCCAAAGTGAAGCTAAAATAAAGGATTACTTGTACTCCTTTTATTAGATTACATAAAAAAGAGTGGGCTACATAATTTACAATTTCTGGAGAAATTTTTATTGGCTTCTTATCATTTTTACATCTTTTTGAAACAGATAGGGCAGCTGTTGTTTTATCTACCTTGTTAATGGAAAATATGAAGTTTAAGTACGTAAAAGGGATTTGTCTAACAGTGTGATGATTGCGGGGATGGGGGGGAGAGCTGTGAGGAAGGTAGAACAGGGTAAAGGAGATGGGAAAAAATAATATAAAGACAAAAACAGGCCTCAGCATGTCCATGACACCTGCACTGCCTCACCCCCACCTCTGCAAGGATGACTGAGTCCTGGTGATGTCCTAGCTAAAGCCCTTTTCTCTCTTGCCAAGTTAACGATAGCAGTGCACCAAGGCAACCTAAGATTTTAGGAAGTGGACCAAGAATTGGAGTGGCACCCGCTGAGCTGTTTGCCAGATAAAAAATACAGGATGCCAGTAAAATGTGAATTTCAGTTCATTTTGTTGTTTTTCTTTTTTTATTTTATGCTTTTGTTTTTCCTCTCCTCACTTGTTCTCTTCTTCTACTAATAGCTTAATTCGTTTCACTCACCAGATACAGGCATATCTGCTCTCTACTCTATTCTCCTTTTCCAAAAAAATAGATAGATAGATAGATAGATAGATAGATAGATAGATAGATAGATTAAAGGGGAATTTTAAAAAATTTTTATACATAAAATTTTTCATACATATATATATACTTAATATATATCTTTT